ACCATGTTTGTTCTAATTCCCCCAGCGTATCTAATCAGCATGAGATCTGACCACAACTAGGACCGAATCAAGATAATAAGAAGGATTTATTTTCCTTCCTTATCATGTGTGTATTTGTATTGTACACCTGTCATTTAGCAAACAATACCGGATTCGCTCTGAACCTGAGAGGAAAGGTTCAGAAAGCTCCAGTGGAATCAGCCCTACTATTGAAATGTAAATGTTACCTCGTGATGTAAGAGAAACAGCATGTGGTTCCTGTCATGGCTACAAGATGCTAATACAAGAAACCTCTGACTATAGTTAAAAGTAAGCCCGAAACTAGTACAGATCGAGGTAAATACAGTTTGCATTATTTGCTTCTTCATTGACTCATTGACATACATCCTGTCTTTGCCTAAATCTAGATTTCTGAAACTAAACTTTGCTCCCCTCAGGTACCTCTATATGACCTCACAGATCAGAGGTCTGCGTTACCCTGAGGGAACCGGCAGTACCGAACACCAAAGTGCCCGTATTTGTTTTGACAACCCTCAACTGTTTCCAGTGATCGACAGTGGTTTCTAGCTCTGTTCTGAAACAATGAACCCCGCCTATCTGGACTCTTTGAATGTTAAAACAACTGCCAAGAATTTCTCACAGGGTGTGTCTGACCCTGCTGAATTACAACATGTGTTACCTTTCATTCAAAACATAGTGTGTCTTGGCCCACACACTGAAGTGTTTTTGCTCATGAACTGTATTCACTGAGTGACTTGAATCAACTATGTGTGATGGCCCTGAGGGGGAACTCACAACATTACACAAGACAACATGGCAGTTCATAACATGTATCACCCAATGTGAGAATGAGGTGAGGCCCAGGCCACTGAATGATACAGATGTGTTTACAGAAGAATCAAAATTGTTCAGAAGTATGTCTGAGTACATGATGTGTTGTTATTCGAGAAATGAAACATCCTCTCAGAGCTGTGAAAGAAAAACAGAGAGTTAAAATGTAAACTGCTGCTCAGCTCTGAGGAGCAGTGCACATGCCTTCACTGTGTGCCTGATTCAGGAATAAATATACCCAAATAAGGCGTGCAGATCACTCAGTAACCCTGTGTGTGTCTGTGTGTGTTACGGACTTCGGTATTCCAGCTGAAATTCATTATCCTGCAGCCGAGATATCCAAACAGAGCTCATACCGTGACTATAACAACATACCTCCTCTAATCAATAAAGACTGTGTGATTTGGGAAGAAATCCTCAGACAGAGCGGGGGGGGGGGGGGGGGGGTTCTGCCTAGAAAAAGGTTCTGTTACTGAAAGGTTCTCAATAGTTTTGTGTTGGCTTGAATCAAAAATTGAAGCAGTATCTACACCCAGCCTTCATCACAGGGTGCTTTGGTGTGGATGCGAGTGATGCAGTTCAACCAAAATGAGTTTGAACCCTTTTAGATTGTTTCAACTGGAGGAAAATGATAGGTCAATATCTCCAATATTTTAAAGGGGGGGAAAGCTAAATATCTAAAAGTTAAGCAAAGAATCAAAGTGGTTAGGACAAATGCCACACACTCAGGGACGTCTGCCTCTGGTCTGTTACTACACTATTAGTATATATGAAAGGCAAACAAGCAAATCATTGAAGCTACAGAGCCCTGGATAAGGTGACCAACTGTAGGGACTTGCTCAATGTTAGGTTTGTGATTTAAAGCAGATTTTGTGATCCCCTTTCCTAAAGTTGGAAAACATTTTGTGGGTAAGATTATTAATCATCCCTAGCATGGGTGTATTGTGTGTGTGCATTTGTAACACAAATGCCTGTGTGTGTATTTGTAAGTATAACAAAAAAGAAATGCATGTGTATAACAGTTTGGAAAACTTAATTTTGGAATGTAGTCGTTAAAAAGCCATCTTAATGTTATGTTATTACTGGACCTGACGGCAGAATTTGAATTGTATTTTATTTTATTTTATTTGTAATTGTTATTTTCTCTATTCCACTTTTTAAGTATTTGTATTTTAATGTCTGAACACACTGCTGCTTTGTAACAAAATGATTTCCCAAATTGGGATCAATAAGTATCTATCTATCGATCTATCTATCCATCCATCTATCTATCTATCTATCTCTCTCTCTATCCATCTATCTATCTATCTATCTATCTCTCTATCTATCTATCTCTCTCTCTATCCATCTATCTCTCTATCTATCTATCTATCTATCTATCCATCTATCCATCTCTCTATCTATCTATCTATCTATCTATCTCTCTATCTCTCTATCTCTCTCTCTATCCATCTATCTATCTCTCTATCTCTCTATCTCTATCTATCCATCTATCTATCCATCTATCCATCTCTCTATCTATCTATCTCTCTATCTCTCTATCTATCTATCTCTCTATCTATCTATCTCTCTATCTCTCTCTCTATCTCTCTATCTCTCTATATATCTATCTATCTATCTATCTATCTATCTATCTATCTATCTCTCTATCTCTCTATCTAACTATCTATCTATCTATCTATCTATCTATCTATCTATCTATCTATCTATCTATCTCTCTATCTATCCATCTATCTATCTCTCTATCTATCCATCTATCCATCTATCTATCAGAAGCGGAAATTAACGCATTGCAAATGAAGGTCTAATAATCCTTGGGTCTGTTTTTCACCTCTTTTAAGGTAAACCAATCAAAATGAATGTAGGTGGAATGTATATCACTCATCATGTCCAGATTGTGTCCCTAAAAGTATGTTTGCCTCTCCTTGGTGCCTGAGCTGCTCTCCAGATAGTTCCACAGTTCCGTTGATTCATGAGCACAGCAACTCTAAGAGCTGCTGCTATAGATGGAATGCAAATGGAAATAAAGGATACATATGAAATCTTCTTTAATGTCGCCACATTTTACACAGCGCTGCACACACAGTGAAAATCTTCTAACTCATCCTAGTATTAGGAGCAGTGGGCAGCTTCTATAAAGGACCCAGGCCACTGTGGTGAGAGCCCCTCAATTTGAATGTGTAACCATTGCAGTGTTGGTGCTCATCCAGTGTGATGCCAGTCATGGGACCTTCAGATTAACACTCATTAAGACTGTTTAACCTGAGCGGAACCTTTACTGTGACCTCTGAGCCAATGAAATGCACTGCACTGATGATAAACAAGCTAAGGTCGTGAGTGTGTGTGTGTGTGTGTGTGTGTGTGTGTGTGTGTGTGTGTGTGTGTGTGTGTGTGTGTATGTGTGTGTGTCATGTCATGTCATGGCTGGTGGGATCCCATCGGCCTACCTCACTCAATCAAATCAGTGTTTTATAGCTGAGTAGTTTTCATGACAGGTGAAACATAAATAGAGTTTTAAGAACTAATAACATAATCTGAATGGTTACTCCGTGTGGGTGAGCGGGAGCAGAAAGCAACATACAAAGGTCTAACAGCTGAGACACACACAGCACACACAGCTGTGTGACCGCTCAACACGTGATGGAGATCCCCACTGATCAGTTCTCTGTTGACTCAAAGAGGAGGAAGAAGAGATTCAGAGTGGAGGTAGCACTAACGCTAATCCTATTTAAAATCAATCAATCAATCAACAATCAATGTTTTTATCAGATGTTATCTGAGATTCTATTCCAGTATCATAGAACCAAATAAAAGCATGAGTTTGTTCCAAAGCATGGAGGAAAACACATTTTTCACATTCTTGTCCTATTTTACAGCAGTTTGGCCTCCATCCCAGAATAACCTCCAAACACACACACACAAGCGCACCCACAAACACACGCGCACAGACACACACACACACACACAGAGGAAATCATCGTGATTTCTGGTTTTAGTAGAAATCACGACAGGTCAGCAGTTATTAAAATATTATGGTACAGCAGACTCACCGTGGCAACATCTATACAAGGCTACATTTTAAATCAAAATCACACTGCCATAATACTTCAGGCTATCCCTCACATTATTAATGATGATTCAACCACCTGAAAGGGTGAAACAGGTATCCAGCTGGTTTTTAAGCACTTTCCTGTACTCTTGTTGTTGTTGAGGGTAAATGAGAATGTTGACCCATAATTAAAATCAGGAAATCTCTTCCTCCTTTGCTTTGATTTTGATTATTTTAAATCTGCCTGTTGTACGACTTTAAGGAAGTGAAATATAAAAATGTTGGAGCAGGCCCTGCCCTTTAAATCACAGACTCAATATAGGTCACAAGGAGGACATGGAAAACACTTACAGAAAGGAATTACAAAAATAATAATAAACATGCACGCCTTTTGTTTAAAATTCTTATCAAATAGAGTAGGATTTTTTATTTATTTTAGTATTTTACTTTACCTTAAAAGGAATCATAACATTGTATACGCCTCCTATCGAAACAATCATTGGTCATAGATAAACACAAATAAATTATAGTTTGACTATATTTGTTAGTATATTAGGGTTATTACACAACAGAGACACTGCATGGTCTCAGTAGCAGTGGTGTTAATTAAGTACATTTACTCAAGTATTGTACTAAAGTCCAATATTGAGGTACTTGTTGCTTACTTGAGTATTTCCATGTTATGCTACTTTTTACTATTACTCCACTACAAGTTTTTAATACCTTTAGTTACTTTACAGATGTGGATGAATGATGTGAAATATAATCAAGTGTTAAATCAGACTTTAGTTCCACCTGGAGTAAATTCACAAGCTACCCTGCAGTATACAAAGTCATTACAACTAGCTGTACCTTTACCAGCTTTGAGAACACTTTCATGATCAATCATTATAAAACATATCATATATATTATTCTGAAATGGACTAATCTGCACAATGACTAGTTTTAGATGGCAATACTTTTTTACTTTTACTTGAGTAACATTTTGAATGCAGTAGGCCTACTTTTACTGTAACAGATTATTCCTACACTCTGGTACTTCTACTTTTACTTAAGTACACCATCTGAGTACTTTTCCCCCTGTAGAGATGACAGACACATGACAGTATGGAGTCCCACCTTGGAGATGATGAGCGGCTCTCCGTGCTCCAGGCCTCCCTGCAGGGTGAAGCCCCAGGGCGCTCCGCCCTGCAGCCGGGCCTCCAGCAGCACCCAGCCGCCCGCCTGCTGCCGGAGCCCCGCCCGGACTCCGTTCTCCATGCCGGCCAGGGAGCGCTGTATCCCGGCTGCTGGCTCCTCAGCCCGTCGGCGGCCCGGCGGACTGAGGGGGGGACCGGACTGCGGAAAACCGGTTATCCTTCACGAGCGCATTTCCTTCATTCATTTAAAACTTCTCTATAAGAAAAAGAAGGAAGGAGGTGTCCGAGCACCGGGCTGCGGGTCCTGCAAAGTGCATTCCTTAGAGAGAGGCTGGTTCTCCGGCAGACTCCAACCAAAACTACCGAGGCTGTGAGGAGCGGCAACAGGTTACTGAGAGGAGGAAGTCCGAAACACCGCTTTATTCCTCAAACTGAAACAAGACCAGAGCTAAAACAGGACTGCTCTCTCTCTCTCCGAATTTCAGTTTACCATCACAATAGGATTTACTGCGACTCACTGAGCCAGAAGAAAAGAGAGAGAGAGAGAGAGGAGAGAGAGAGAGAGAGAGAGAGAGAGAGAGAGAGAGAGAGAGAGAGAGAGAGAGAGAGAGAGAGAGAGAGAGAGAGAGAGAGAGAGAGAGAGGTGGAGAGAGGCAGGGTGAGAGCAGGGGACAAGAGAGGTGAGGAAGCAAGGAAAGAAAGGAAGGAAGGAAGGAAAGAAATAATCAAAGAAGAAAGGGAGTTAGGTAAGAAGGAATGATTACATGAAAACAGAGATAAAATAAAGGATACAGTTGAAGGAAGAAAGCTCATAGAAACAAGTGGGAGTTTATCAGGAGAGTTAACACAGCTTTTGCAGATCCCCCTACTATTCAATATTTTCAGTTATGAGAACGATCCAAACATCAACCAAAATATTTTGATACAACCATCCATTTAAAAACATGACATGAGAGGAATGTGTATAACTGTTATGGCCTTCCTCTGCTGTAGGAGGAAGAGTGTGTTATTTCATGATGAAAGAGAAGAAGAGGATGCAGGACAGGAAGTGTGTTTCTGTGTGAGGAGCTGTAATCCAATCCTTCACAGCACAGCTCACACTGTTTCCATTCACACTGGAACCAGATTACAACTGATGGATCCAATCATGTAACGCTTCACAACAAACTGAAACACAGAGCTGACATGTAGTGTTTGAGGTCAGATTGATGTGTGGTATTATCATTCAAATAAACTACATCATCCCAAGGGCTGGCTGAATCTGAGTGCTTCCTTCTTTTCTTTCCAATAATTCTGTCTTTAGTTGTCTGTAAGTAATACAAAGAAATCATCTTATTGTAGTGATCACTGATTCATACACTGGGGTTACATAATCCAATCATGGAACTACAGGTTGGGGGTATTGTTTCCGCACGGACACATGTGTTTACGGTACCTACTGTGTACCTACTGTGTGTTCCCCCTTTCACTTTCTCTACTCTTCTCGGCTCGACCCGACAGCATGTGTATTTCTGCTGCTCAATAAAGCCAGATTTGTACCTCCGATGCACCGCCTCCGACTCCCTTCTCTCGGCACTACATTATTATCAAAGAATAAATGCTGAGCTAACAAAGCCCGTGGCTACCCCCAAACAGAGCTGAGGACTATGAAACCATGTTCAGAATCAGAATCACGTTTGTTGCCAGGTACGTTTACACATACATGGAATCTGCTTTGGTGTCAGGTGGTGCGAACATAAACTAAGAAAATAAGTTGTAAGAGTAGGTCAAAGATATTAATATAATAGAAAGAAGTATTTTTAAGAAACTATTTAAAGTATTTACACCACATTTTAATTTAAATATACAAAGAACCTAAAAAGCTAAAACACTTAGGACAATGAATATGCGACAATATATGGCAAACTTCAGTGAATTATATTCTAAAGTGGAGGGCTGTGCAGACGTGTGCAAAGAGAGAGAGTCATGTTGGCTCGAGATGAAAAGAGGATCACCAAAATATTACAATTCCTGCTATGAAAGGTGAATCTGTTTACAACAGATGGCCATCCATAGAGCCACTTTGCTTTTGATGGCTGACAGTTTGAAACATTAGGGTGCACAACTTTAAACACGTGTGCTCGCCTGGACAGTGGCTGCATAAAGTGTGAATTACCGTTACACAGGTTGATTATCCCCTATCCCTCCTATACGTACATCAGTGATGAAGCAGCAGGGACCACTGAGTCCCAGCTTGCTTCAAAACTCCAACAGACATGTGAGTGATGACACTTGATGATCTATTGTAGGATCACATCATCAACACATCACTGACTGTCTACACTACAGCTCATCTGCATTAAAGCGGATATTCAACAATTCACTCTCAGCATTGACAATGCCACAGACTGCAGATGCTAGATCCAAATCACACACAGGTTACAGGATTTATACATCTGTAACTGACCTGTAATCTGCAAGTATCTCTGAATCAATTCCCTCACACTCCTTACTGTTGAACAAAGCGTCTTTATGAATTACACATGGCTGTATAAAAAGGACAGTAAGGGGCACCTTCAACAACATAATCATCTACTCTTTTGGACTTGTAGGAACAACAAGTTATCTGCGAAACAGGTGTTTAGATATACTTTTATACTTTTTTGACTGTTGTTAAAGGCGCCCCCATGTATTTCAGCTGGACTGGGTACATTGATGGATTAGGCTCAAACAGAAGCCGAGGAGCCAGAAGAGTTACTATTCAAACTGCAGGGTTAAAGGGGAAACAGCAGCTTTGAAATGTTCGGCTCTAATGAAGTCAAAAGCGCCACAAATAGCTGATCTGTAAGTGGAACTTAATTTGAGAGTGTTGATGTCGGAAGGTTAAAAAGTAAACAAGATTTTAAGTCGTGTTTCCCTCTTTCTCTTTATACGTGGTTTCTTTCTAAGGCCAGTAGAGAGGGAGAGAAAGCAGAGCATGTAGTATTTTATCAAAGATCGCCGTCCGGAGGTCTGCAAGAGAATTACATTCAACTTGTCCTGAAGACAGCTCCAGATATAATTGCACTGAAGAAGACAAAGGGACACGGAAACTTTGTTTGAGGACTCACCAAAAGTTATTTTTTTGTTATGTTTTGAGATTAAAGTCAGAATTCGAAGAAAAAAGTCACAATTTTCACTTTAATCCCAGAATTAGAAGAAAAGAGAATTCTGATTTGTTTTCCCTCAGAACTCTGATTGGTCAAAATACTTTGAACGAAATTCAACACAATATTCACCTTCTGCTAGTCCTTATATTTTAAACATGGACATTTTATAATTAACATGTTAATTTCAAAGTTTAGATATTACATATTAGTGCACATCTACTGGATTACATTTACGCTGAGGCTCTGAATCACATTTTAACAAACTTGTGCAAACACCAAACAAAGGATACAAATATTTCTTATATAAATGTAAAAGAAAATAGATTAAAATAAATTATAGCTTCAAGATATTTTGGTTTAACATAGAACATTTAAAGTCTTCAAGAAAAAAGGTAAACATAACTTTTTCTATAGAGATTACGGTATCCAAATGTTAAAATCATCCACTAACCTCAGAATATGTTAAATAATGAATGCAAGCACATCAAAATGTTAAATCCCTATTTTACATATATCTGTCACAGTGCAGGTTTTCCAACTTGACATTTGCAAATGTGTTCTGATGTCAATTTTCCAAATAAGTGTTCAAATAAATAAAAGGTGCACATTAGAGTTCATGGCTTTATTCACCTGTCCTTTCTAAAGGGACCGCGTCAGAAAGTATAGAGTTCCTGAAAACGAAGAACTTTAATTAATCTGTCCTCAACAAACGCATTTATATTAGCTCTGATTTGAATTTGTAGGTATGGGATTTTGCAATGTCATTGTAGTTAAGGAATAATTCTTCTAGATATCTAACCTTTTACTCTGACATGTGTTATCTCCTTTAAGGAAAGGCCTTGGTGCCATATGTGTTGTTGTCACCAGTGTGAGACCGGTCAACTTGACTGGCACGTAGGGTAATTGTTGTGAGAACACTGAAGCACTTCTTTATCGGTGTTTGTGGGCTCTAGGATGTGAAATCCTTGAGGCCATGAGCGTCGGACGCAGATGATTCAGTGTTTAGTCTACTCCTTCAGAGATGTGGATTTCTCTCTGTGAACCTGTTAAAAGGTCTAGCATAGAGAGAGGTTCTTCAGAATTGACGTGGCAACTCTACCGTGTGGTCAGAACCTCTGACTCTTTGATTTGTGATGTGAATCCTCCGGCCGAATACTCTGAATAAACCCATCAGTGTTTGACATCAAAGCTCCAACTCTCACCGTGTCTCCTTCCTGAGTCGGTGACTCCATGCATTACTACACAGAAGTTTCCTCCACAAATTGGCGTTGTCGGCAGGATACCAACAGATCTTCAGAGACTGGTAAGTGTGATTTCAAATCTACATGTGGACATTGCCTTACCAGAATCTGTGATTGACGGTATCCTAAAATTATCTGTGAAGCTAAGCGGCTGTGTTTCGTTTTGGTTAATGAACATTTGGGGCTAGTAACCCCAGGGGATCATCCAGGGACTCTGTCTTGGCTGGTTCCCTCTGTGTGTGCTGCTCGTAGGGTGACCAGATGTCCCGCTTTGCGCGGGACTGCACAGCATTTTCACGACTTTTGGTGCGTCCCGCAAATTGAGACGATGTCCCGCATATTTCATTTTGATTGGCTAAAACGCTTTTCTAAAATCAGATTTATCCAATGGCTGTTGAGAAAGCAGGGAAGGCTATCATCACGGAGCTGTGTTTGCTGTCAATCAAACTGTAAGACACGGCGGGTGCTGGTCAAGTGTTAACCAATGAGAGTAACTCACTCACACACACACCGCCGCGGCCCCGCCAAACAACAACAATGAAAGTCAATAACGCAGGCGACGCAGCAGGTTATGGAAAATGGAGGAAACTACAGCTAAGAAAAGAAGAAGATGCACATACAACAAAGACTGGGAAGACATTTACCCGTGGGCAGCGGCGGACTGGGACTACAAATCAGCCCGGGACTCTCGACCGGCCCACCTCGGTACCGCAAATAACCACCGCTAGTACATTTTCAACGGGGGGGGGGGGGGTGTTGAGAGGGTGTCCCACATTGTCCCACACAAACATACTCCTTGTCCCACATTTGGTTTGTTGGGACCTGGTCACCCTAGCTGCTCGGGACGTATGTGCCGTGCAGGCATACACGGAGATGTTTAAAAAGACCTCAATGAGGGCAGCAGTAAAGTGGAACTTCTGTGTGAAATCAAAATAGAGATTTGTAATGAACAAATCGCCGAGATTCCGGGGGTTTCAGCGGCCAACACTAGCAGTTAACTAAAGCAGAGATATTACCCCCAGCGCCTCTAAAAAAAACACGGCTCCAGCTGCGGCTCCGGGGAATGTGTGTAAAATACCTCCCCGTATCTGCATGAGCTGGTGAAGTGAACTCAGAGGGAGAAAATCACAGCTTTTGTCTATAACTTTA